TTGGTTTTTGTGGAGGGAGGAAAACCGGAGAACCCGGAGAAACACCCTCGGAACAAGGCGAGAACCAACAACAAACTCAACTCACGTATGACACCGAGACGGAATCGAGTTCGGGCCACATTGATGGGAGGGGAGGGCTCTTACGATTGCACAATCGCTGCTGCCACGAAATGTAGAGTCTCTTCAAAATGTCAGATGCAGTAGCTGCTCCTAGCCTCAATTTACAGCCGCCCTTTCCACTCATTTATTAACACTAATAAGTTTTCAACAAAAGTTTTCCTTCATTAAGGAAAAACACCGTTGAGATCTCAGTGACCTCAAATGATTCTTCCTTCCTTCAGTGTGTCAAATGATTTCAAATTTCTTCTGACCTTTCTTCAAAATGTAAATTTTTCCTGACTCAAAATAAAATTCCCTGACTTTTCCCTGACCATTTCCCGACATGTGGCAACCCTGACGCTTCGTTTCAATTCGAGCAACGAAGATCGCTCCATACCTGTGTTTGGGAGCGCAGATCCGTCGAATATCCGAACATGTCATTCAATGGCACCTGAAAAGATAAAAGAGAAGTGTAAGTGAAAGAAAAAGCAACTACGTTTATAGCTGCATGTATAAAACGCTTCGATATCTAGATGGGTTTTGGAAGGCACTTTCACAAGCGAGCCAGGGTTGTACCGAATTAATTCCCATTTAATCTTGAGCAAGCATCTCCCGTTTTGGCTTATATTTCAACAAGACTTACGAAAGACACCGTCTCTCACGTTAATAATTACTAAATATCTCAACATGACTGTCATTGTTTTTTTACTTCACTATCTCCAAAGCCATCGCCTCAATTGTTTCACCTATCAAGGTTACAAAGTCCAAGTTGGAGCTTCTTCACGACAAAGGTAAATCTTTCATCACACTCGACCAATTATAGAACATCTTGACCTATTTTAGCCAATCAAATGCAATCTGCGAACAGCCACGCGGTAGCACGCGTGCATTTTCCCGCCAAAACCCGGTGCAACGAATGTAAATCACTTCGTGGCTTAAGCTTCTTTCTATTTGCGAGAGTTCGACTGTGTGGTCTGTGACAAGATACGCTAAAAAGGTAAAAGGAGTTGCTGTTACGAATCTGATATCTGGGCCACGTATTTCGAATGGATCAGGCTCGAAATCTTACGATTGCCTTGCGATGGACACCACCTGGAAAAAGGACCCTGATCGGCCAAAAACAACCTGGCGCCAACTGTCATGGCTGAGCACAGTGAACTAGAACTCACTTGGAGCAAAACATGCTGCACAAAACAGGGATAAATGAGGAGGGATTGTTGTTGACTGATGTCCCATAGACGACGAAGAGAATTAAGTAAGAAAGTTACCTCGGCATAGATTGTGACGTAACCTTCGGCTGCATCTGTGCCCGTGATCACTCCGCGTCTGCGGTTCAGCCCAGCAATAACCACTCCCTGCACAGAGAGACAACAACAACAAAAAAAATAGTTTGGATTTCTGCAGTCCTCTTCAGTTTACTTCTTTTTTTAACTACCGTGTATTCTCTTTCGCCTCAGTGTTCGTGTTGCATTTCTCTGTGATTTAATTGGTGGTTCCTCCAGCTATTTAAACTTAAACCATTTTCTAAGGGCCGGCGCAGTTACTCTTCTTTCTGTAGCAATGAAGCGATTAAAACATCTACTTCGATTGCTGGCCTCTCCCGCACCCCATCCCCCGAAGAATTTTGTGAAGTTGTTCCAACAGTTTGCGTTATTGCTTCATAGGTTAAGTGTAAAAAGATAAGTTAAAAAAGATACATTTCTCCGGAAGTTGTGCGTGCGGAATAACCATTGTACACGAGGAGCGCGTGACCCTCGCGTGTAACCGAGAGCGAAGTGCAGAAAACAATACACATAAAATACTGAAACAGCTTACTTGGAATTCCTGAGGAATATTAACTTCTACCGCCATGATGGGCTCCAAAATAAGGGGTGCAGCTTTAGGAAATGCTGTCAACAGAGGATGATAAAACGTATTGTTAAAATTGCAAGAATTTTACATTTCGCTCATTCCATCCTTCACGCTAGTCATGAAGCGATTTTCCAGATGCGTTGCGTGACGACGCAGCTAAAAGTTCGATTATCCAATAAGACCTCAGAATTCAAGGCAAGAATGAACGGGCGCGAAAATACGTAGCATGCCAGTGAAAAGCGCGGGAAAAATATATATCCTGCCGGAGAAAATAGCGGGAAAATACGTAAACTTCCAGTGGAAAGCCCGCGGAATCGAAACAACGTAACTCGTCAACGCAAAGCGCGGGAAAAGTAGTATACACCAAATCTCGATTGGTTTAGGCCTTCCATTTGATTGGTTAAGGCGGGGTTTTACCTGAATTTAAGTGAAATTTTAGTAAGTTTAAAGAGGGATTAAAAGGAAAAAAAGGGTTATGGAACACCACCAGACAGTTGAACGCCCCCGAAAGGGCACCCCAGGTTGGTGGACAACTGTTTGGTGTACATCTACCAATTTTTAACTTCATGTTCTAATTTTAAAACAACACCAAATCTTCAAAATTTCCTATTTNATTTTCGAGTAACACGGTACACCTCTTGTTCATTCAGGCTCTTTTCTTGTTTCATTTTAGGGATAAAGGCGGTGCAGCCGTGAGTAGAAAGAGAAAGAATGAGCAACAAGAAAAAGGAAAGAAAACCAAAGAGAACAAGGCTGGCGAGAAACAGGAACAAAAGAAGAAACGCAGAAAGTAGAGAAAAAAAAAAACAGAATGATAACACTAATCATTTAAACAAAGTCTAAGTAAGACCTACAATTTTTCACCCATTACAATGATGGAAAATGGCGCGTTTTGGTTTTAGCGCGAATTCATCATTGATTCGGGGGGAGGGGGGGATTGGTTTTATTTCTCATTTTATTCCAACCAAGATTGCAGCTTTAAACTGAGACAAAATTCACACAACAGGCGACTTTGTTACTGTGTTCTCACAGGTTGTCATAATAACAGTATACCTTAAGCCCATGTGACCGAAAATGCTGGTATAAAACGAGTAAAAGATACCTCGATTCTGCCAATAACACGGCCAAACTGACCCGCTCCACCGCTCTGCTTCTTATGAAGATAGTCAAAGCTGAAAAAGAATGTAAAATCTCCTTACTCGTTTTCATCAAGAGAGGATGAGGAATAAGTTCATCTCGTCATTTCCCTGTCAAATTATTTTTAGACCACTCCTGGTTTCGGAAATCCCAGGATGGTCTAGAAGAACACAATCACGTGACACGAATTTTGCTTCTCAAACTCATTAACAAATTTACACAAAGTTTAAACAAAGGAATTCATGACCCTCACGGTGTTTGGATACCTCGGTTTTGTCCTTAGTTTTAGTTTCGATTGAGCAGATATATCAAACACTCAAGACAGTGTCTGACCACATTTCCAAACACCTCAATATTTGGAAATTTGGTCAAACACGGTCTTCTGTGTTTGATATTTAAACTTCCACGCAACGCACCTGAAAACATTATCCGCGAATGACCTGGGTACTCTGGTTAAAAATAACTTGAAAGAGATAGAAATAAGGCCTATATGGGGGATTAATTCAATTACCCTTCAACAGCTTTTATCTTATTACATTTCCTAGAGTACTACTCGGGTTAATTTGATGATGTTTTATCCCTTCCCTGAGATCACCATACAAATCCTCCTTACTGAATACACACATTTCTATAGTGATAGTTAAGAGAATTTAAGTCTTAATAAGAATTTAATCCCTGATATCAACATGAAAATTCTCCAGACATCCCTTGTAGCACCAGTGAACGTTTATCGCTCGAAGGTTTGCGTAATCTCGTCACCTGTTACTTTGACTTTGTATTTTCGTTTCAAGGAGAAATTACATTCTGATCAGGGCTGAGAGTGGTTGACCTTCTTGTGTCACGAGTGGATGCATGGTCGCTCATAAGGTATTGTTACATAACGCTCGAGGTACATCCACGCGTGAGCTATTATACTCAAGTGTGCACCCAACATGCGCGTGGTACACTAAAACGAGCGCAAGGTTTTTCTTCGCGCGCGAAAAACGCGGTTTTCTTACCTGGCTGCCTTGCCTATTGTCTCTCTGAAGGCGACCTTTGGTTTACCAGCGATAACCGGACAATTATACTCTGTGCGCATTCTCTATCAGTGGAAGCAAAGATTCAAAAAGAAAAAAAAGAAAAAAAATGTTACAAACAAACATAGAAGAGTGATGACACTACCAAATGTCAAAGTGCATGAAAAGCGTCTCCGCGGAGTCGCGTTGTTCAGAGATTCGTAATAAGATGTAAGGTAATCATTTTTCAAACTATTAAAGAAACTGTTTCAGGGAAAAGCGTCTTGCTGCTATCAACAAATGTTTTTTAGGACAAACGAAAATTATTATCCCGCTTTCGATTGTCTCACAAAAATGAAATCGAATCAACGTTACAGCTTTCACCTGCGTGGAGCTGTGAAACCCTCCCTATAACACTGTGTTGAGTTCTCGGGCAAAACACTGTACTCTCAGTCACAATGCCTCTCTTCACTCACGGGTATAAATGAGTTCTGGTGAATTATCAGAACAATCTGATAAAAAAAGTTGGGGGAGGTTAACCTACAATGGACAAGCATCCTATCAAGGGGGGAGTATAGGTACTTGCTTGTCGTCATAGAAACAAGAGCTGCGCGCTGACTTTGTCAGCCAACTAGGCTTGTAGACAGAAAAATGTTTTCACCCTTTCATGCATAAAAATGAAGATACCTCCTCCCCACTCACTCCCTGGCACCATGCTGCAATATTACTGATAGTTTATGTCTTAATCACCTCTGTGTAGATGTCAAGATGAAGCTCGCCCATGCCAGAAATAATAGTCTGCAAGAGATCATTGAAAACAACTCATCATATAACGAAAAGACAATTTCGCTGACTTTTCCCTGACCAGATATTATTCTTTGACCATTACACGACTTCATCTCCAGCTAAAAAATAGCTTAACTTGCCTCAAAATTCTTTCGCACAAAAACGAATTACATTGACCATAGTAGAGCAGTCTTTACCTGAGTGTCTAAAGAAAATAAGCAATTTCCGAGTTGCTGTTACCTCTCTTTCAAAACGAGTCTTGACTTACAACCTTTCATATGGAAATAAGTTTTTCTTGCACGTTCATTGTCTTGCAATTCAAAGTCATTTTCATATGAAAGGTTGTGCACCAGGACCCGTTTTGGAAATGAGGCAACTCGGCAATGGCTTATTGACGTGTGCTTTGGCTTGACAGTACGACACTTAGTGATTGGTTTAAAAATCTCGCACCAATTTGTCATCCAATCAGAAGTAAAACCAAAACCAATTGTGCTTCGCTCGCACACGTTTTCCCGCGCTTTGCGTCAGCTAAACGTATTTGCTTTGAGTTGTGATTGGTTTACTGAATTGTCTGTGTCCTTTGTCACTTTTTCTTCACAGGTAAAGATTTATTATGGTTTTCTTACCTCTTTGCTTTCGTCGTCGAAACTCACTCTAAATGTTGGGTCCTCTCGCGCGAACCGACTGAGGGCTTTTGAGAACTGTGCTAAGTCATTCTAAAGTAGAAAAAGGCAGATATACATGTAGGTAGCGATCAATTTTAGTCTCATACTTTCACTATACTCACAGTGTGTTTCAAAGAAAGAGATTACAAAAAGAACAATAAAATACCCAATTACTTCGTCACAATTTGATACTTCAACTCAGCTTTTACCTTGTTGTTAGGCTCCACGGCCAGAGAAATAACTGGATCTGGAACAAATATTGGCTCCTGAAGGGAAAAAAAAAACAACACAGAAGCTTCATAGAGAAAGTTTTCTATTCGGTGTCTTACAGCATTTCACGCTAGAGAGAAAGCTCTCAAAGTCAAATACAACGATTCCGTGCTGATGACGCGCTTATCATAGTTTCCTTTGATTGGCTGGTTACTTGACTTTCTTAACCAATCGGACACACTCAACGGATCGACGTAGCCCTACATGCGCGTCATCAGCATGGAATTTCTCGGCCCAAATCTCACGCGTCCATCGCTGATAGGAAAGACGAATAAGACGAAATATTGATAGATTCCTGGATAACAACGGAAAAAATTGAAGACAAAAAGAACCTTGTGCAACACAGAATGAGAATTCGAGATTTTAACTTTGATTTCCATATGCTTAATATTTGCGCTAACCATTACATTTAATTGCCAGTTTATTTCTTTACACGACCTAGTGTGGACACCCTAGTGTGGACACCCTAGTGTGTAAACTATTACAGGGAGCAGTACTTTCATGTGGTACTGTTTAGTACGTTGTACAAGGTGGTTCTAACTTTTACGTCTGTGGATGGAACCCTCAAGTGTGACCGTTCAAATGATAGCTATTGAGCAGTACTTTCATGTGGTACTTTTACTGTGCTGTATAAGGTGGTTCTAACTTTTAACTCTGTGGATGAAACCCTAGTGGGTGACTATTTAAACTTAAGCTCTTGAACATTACATTCTTGTAGTAGTTACTTTACCATGGACAGTAATTTAGCTCCCTCTACGGTGAACGTGTCCCCAGAAGCGCAGTCAACTCCAAACAGAGCACATATATCACCAGCATTGGCCTCTTGTACTTCCTAGAAGAAGGCAACGATGTTTTTATATGCAAAATGACTTCGATTACTCTTAAGGGCCCGACACCACACTGAACAAAACAAGACAGTCTATTTGTCAAGTATCTCTCTACACATAGTTTTGTTAAGGCCAAGTAACAGGGCTACATGAAAGCGTTACGCTCAGCTTGACACCCATTTGCAATACTATGTGCATACCATGCTTTTAATTTCGCAATGAATCAATAATCACCTTCATTGAATAGACTAGATGTTTAACCTTTATTTGACCAGGGTTTCACATTTAGTGTATACGTAAAAACCTGATATCAATACAGGCCCTAAAAATTTATCAAATAAATAAACAATAATGATAAAATATAAAAGATAAGTTAAAAATAAAAAATAAAAAACTAGCATGGCTAGAAAATAGCTACCTTAAAAATTACTCTGAAAAGCACAGCATTAAAGAAGAGCATCTATAAATCAAGGCTAAAAACTACACAGCCTTGATAGTAAATTGTTTTTCGCGCATTCCAATTTTATAGACGTAAGTTTAAGATGGATAATTTGCCTTGTCCTCCTATTATATTTAAAACAATCTGGGACCAGAGGCATTACCAAACAAGGCTATTCATGAACGTGAAGAATGATCATCGCAGTACTCAATTAACTGACTTCACCTCCAATGTGTGGCTTCATAGCTCAGTTGGTAGAGCATGGCACCGGTATCGCGGAGGTCACGGGTTCGAATCCCGTTGAAGCCCTGATTTTTTTCAGAC